CTTGGCGTTCCCGAACTCTCTTCTTCCGCTTCTTGTCTCCTCCGGAGCTCCCGGCGGCTGTCTTGTGCTTGCGCTTCTTCTTCTTTTTAACTTCTTCTTTTTCAACAACAGCCTTCTCCTCACCAACCGCTTCTTGTGCTGAAGTTGATGCCTCTTTTGCACCGTCGTCCTGACCGTCACCCACGATCTCTGCGACCGACTCCTTCGCCTCCTCTGCCTCGTTCTCAACCTTCACACCACTGTCAGTAGGAGCGGGCTTCGCTCCCGAAACAGGTTCAGCAGGACGCAACGAAGGCAACGGCTCCAAGGTGCTGTAATTCCGCGGCTCGTCGGGTAGCCCAGGCGGATTTGCCGCTCGCCTCTCAGCAGCAAGAACCGGGGCCGCCTCCTCGGCCAGGTCCAAAAGGCCGCCGGCGGCCTCCCTCAACACGCGGACGGCTTCTCCTTCTTGGGCCTTGAGTATCAGACCTCCTTCGACCACTTCACGAAGCCGTTGGATCGTCCGACACGGAAGGCAAAACGGGCCTGTCTTTGGAAACAGCCCGCACCTAGTGCAAGTCATGCACCGAGCTTGAACCACAACACTACGGAACAGCGGAAATGAGATGCATCTTAACTTACGGGGACGAAAGTACATATATTAAATATGTAGTTGCTGCAACAGCAACTGCTTTCATGTGGGTTCACGTGCTTCTCAGGAAATGTCGGAAATGGATCTCAGTATGTCCATAAAGCATGATTTTAATAAAGCGTCGTCAGCAGGGTCAATGTGAGGAGCGAAGTCCACTAACCCATGTTGCCCGGCCATGTCACTCCATTAAAGCTACCGCATACGACCATTTCCTAGACCTGCACCTAGCTGGTAACTAACTAACATCTAATTGACTGGTACCTATAAGAAAGCAGCATGTGACGTTGGAAAGACCCTCGGAGTTCCCGCGCAACAAAAGCCGCGGGAACTCAAACCCATGACCGGCGACCGGCTCTGTTACAGTGTCTCTGCCGCTCGCATCGGCACTCTCGTTTCGCATCGCAGCATCGGAGCATCGGCTCCTGATCATCCCTTTCATCATCTGCCCAGAGATCTGGTCTCTTTTTGGGCTTTTCTGGAAGCTTCCCCTGGGAGAAAAAAGGCACAGGCCACGTGACTGCCACGAATATATATATATATATATGAGTATTGAGTGGTTTGCTCTGGGAGATGACTGAGGAAAACGACTTGGACATGAAGATTCACTTGTAACTAGATCCTTCAAGAAGCTAAATCACTTCTGTGAGCGACAGAAGTGAAGGATTTGCATCCGATGGTTTAGGGACCCTGAAAATGAGGTCAGTCGATGATGCCGTCCGTCTATGGCTTTGCTCGGCCTATGATCCGAGGAGGATTGGTTCGATCCCATCTCCCTTTCAGCGTTCGAGAACATCTGCCAAGCACGCTAAGTCTTTGAGGACTCCTTCCAGTTCACTTGATGGTCCAGGTCTTTTATGGCTGCATCTTCATGGAAGGTATGGTTGTTCATCCCAAATCAACTCCAGCTTCAACTCATTGGACACATGGGTTCCTTCTGTGGTCCGTTCCCACCCAGTCCACTTCGGCCGTCTCACAGTCTCGGAGTAGTTGAATCGATCTGGGGGCCACCGGCTCTGATCTCCGGCACACAGCAGGAATCGATCCAAAAGAAGACTTGATGCCTGAGAGGTTTTCTGAAATGATTTTGTTCAATTGTCCAGAAGGACTGTCAGAAGGTTTTCTGCGGAGGCTGCCAATTGCGAAAGGCTACCTGCACCGGCCGCTTCTCAACATGCCTCTGTGCCTACCTGGTGATTTGCATCGATCGGCTGCCAATTTGGATTTGGTCCAAGGGCTCAACTCATTGCCCCAGCGCCATCGATACCACCTGGCAGAGATGGCTGAGAGCGTCCGACACCGCTTTCCCAGCTACACCGAAGCTCTAAGGATCTCTAAGGGAGGTTTACTATGGTTTACTCAGTGAAGGATCCGACAAACACACATCAAAAGTCATGAAACAGCTGCAAACAGCTCGAAACTTAAGAGAGTGCATCATGGACCACAAGGATCATGCTACAGGTTCCCTCTTCCTATAACAAAGGTCCAAATACCATTCCCATCTGAAAATATCTGAAAGATCTGGGGGCTAAGGTCACTTTGCTCATTCCAACACTTTACCTCCCGTCCTTTCACCACCATCGAACCCTTTTTTGTTTTCTTTCTCTCCCCTTGCCTTTCACTGGAAACTCTCAAAAAGCTCCTACCTCCGACCCCCTGGGCCCTTCGTTCCATCCAACTTCTGCCCAGCTCGCGCTCCCGCTCTTCCCCGCCTGGCGAAGGTGACCAGCTGCCGCCAGGTCACGCCATGAGGGTCCACCTTGGCCAGGCCTGAGACCGCGGCGCGTACCGTGGGACGCGTACGCTGGGACCGCGCAATGACTGCGCGGTGAGGTCGGTGAGGCTTGGCTGGAGTGCGACCATCGGTGGTACACTCCAGGCCAGGCCCCCTTGGATGATGAGTCAGTTTTTCCTCTAGAAACTGGTGCTTTTACACATCCATGATTCCAGGGAGTGTAGATGGCCTTGCCTGCATGCAAGAGAGCTGAAGGATGAAAAGCGGCCGATGCTGAAAAAATATGGATGCTGCCGATGATGTTGGGCCCCTATGTTGGATGTCAAAAACTGGAAAGCCAAACGAGATGAGATTCAAGAGAAACCAGGCGTGTTCAAGCCCTTGCTTGCAAATCATCCTTCAAACATCCAACAAAAAAAAACACACACGGACCAAAAGAAAAGGTTTCCGGGGGGTTCTGGTTCGCGTCATTACAACAAATCCAGTGTGGAGACATAGAACCTATATGTTTCCCCTATGGTTTGATCACTATGCATTATGTTTGACATAAAACCATCTGCACCCCGCTACACCGTACCCGATGCAGTTCTTGGACCTCTGAGGTTCAGAGGAGATCCTGCCCCCCCCACTGCAAACGCAGGCACTTCGCCAGCGGTGCACCGCTACCATGACAACAGCGTGTCGGCCATGTGCCTGGCAGTGAAACCATGTGCAGGATTGGGCTTTGGGTGAAAACCGGTGAACACCAGCATGCCTTGGTTGACCTACCTGGAATCTGGAAGGTCAAGCTACATGACTAGCTACATGCTGTTGGGGTCTCTAGCCTTTGACCCATCATTTCACGAAGGCTTCTGACAGGTGCTCAGTCACTTGTGTCTCTCACGGTCACTCTGAGTGATTTGATTCAAGAATTAAGAATGCTCTAGAAACGACATGATGACAATCACGAGAGTCGACACGTAAATCTACAGTATTTGGATTGTAGGGTGGTTTTGTCAAACACGCACTTCTGCCTGTTTCGCATGCTAATTACCACGTGCCACTCTAGATTATGTTTGAGAAGAAAGAACAAAACAAGTTGGCCTCGACCTTCTCGTTTATCTCTTTGGTTCCACAATGTCACACAAAAGACGAGAACAACGCAAAACATATATAGGCAATGTATGGTAACGTGATGTACTATGAGCTAGAACACCCGTGGTACCAACGCATGATTGCCAAACTTGCACTGACACCTGTCTGCGAAATTGTGGTTCGGGGCCCAGCATCAAAACACCTCCAGAAGCAAAAGGTGATTGGTGCTTGCAGCAGAAGAGCAGCAAAGTTTACGAGGTGGAATTTCGCGAAATCGGGGTACGTCAAAGTCCTTCCACATGTCTGGGTCAGGCAATCCCACGCACTCCAAGTGGACATGGAGGGGTAGAGTACCAAGATGTGCCAATCAATGATTCCTGTGAAATACCCCCGCCATCCGCCTGCCGCCTGCCCCCCACCTCCCCTCCTGCCCCTTGCGTCCCGCACCTCATGCGCCTCCCTGGCCAAGGTGAGGTGCTCAAAATCCCTGGCGCTTGGCAAGCGTCCCAGGCCTCATCGAGGAATTCGGGACGGACCAACCACCGAACGAGTCCGAACCGAACGGTCCATGCGACCCGACGAGTCCCGATGTGGGGAGTCGATGTGGAGTGGTTTCCATCGTAGCAGATTAAGTCTCACCGTTCGTGAGAGAAGCAGAGAGGAACTGCATCACAACAACTAGGTGATTTAAACACACCACTCGACTTCAGCGGCTTCATTGTGTTTTTCTTTTGCAGGGAAATCGACTTGGAAGTTCTTAAATTGAATTGAAACTGGAACAGCTTTGAAGGCATTTTTTTGTGGGGTCACTGATGTCCAACCATCGGGGAATTGATCGGGAGGAATTGCAGTGCCGATCACGGAATCTTCCGTGGTGGTGCAGTGACCGCAGGTGTCTTCCTGTTTTGTTTAAGACAGCTTAAGCAAACTCGCAGACTTAAAGAGACGTTGTCTCGGTCCCTCCAATAATGATTCTGCATGTTTTCGAGTGTTGGAGGATATATAGTTCCCAATAACAATACAAAATACATCATCAAACTACTGAATTATAAGGTTGGTGTTTCCCCTTGTGTGCCTCTTGTATTTTGACCCCTTATAAAATTAGGCGGCATTCATGTGTCTTTCTTGCTTCCAAAAGGTACCAGTTCTGCCGGGAAAGTCGAAGAACGTCGTGGGGGTCACATGATGATAAATTGGTGTAGCTCTTCGTTGAGGGTTCATTGCAAATATGAGTCTGTCGGATACATGACCTGAAATGAGAGTAGTAAATCTACTTGGAGTTCAGGCTTGAAGAGGACAAAGATTTGGGCATCCCGCGTTCCTTCATAGTTAAACACCAGTCAAGCACAGTTCAATGATGTTGATGTCTCGGGTAAATATCCTTGGCAAATATCCTGAGACCATGATGATTTCTCTGCAACCTTGAAGCATAATGAACATGAAACATATAGAAATATTATATGTGTTTCCAGCATATACAATGCTCGAGCTCACATGTCCAACCCCAACAACCCATCAACAACACAAACATCCCACAAAAAAGACTTCACAATCTTCATCTGCACAGGGTACCAGCTGACAGATATTACTCACCATGTCCTCCAAGTTTGTGCCATTGATTAGCTCGCGGGCCCAACAACTGCGCTTTTCCGACCGACCTACACAATGACAAGCTCATATTTGTTGCATGGGTGAAACAACGGAGCCACAAGCTGTTTGAGGCCCCCATTCAGGGGATTTTCCAGCTTCAATCGACGGCTCATGAGACAACCTCGGATTTTCAAAGAATCAACTGAATGGAGTGGGTGGATCTCAAACACAAGTGACGTGAACAACGTCACGTTGAAGAACCTGGGCGATGAATATGTGCAACTGATCACCATCATACACATTCCATACATTCCGTCACATTCCAACATCCTATTAACCTTTTCTAGTGGTACAGTGATTGAAAACAAAAACAATGCCAACCTACATCCACTATTCACTGCCACATCCAATCTATCCTGTATTTAGACCCTCTGTGTCAACCAACCTCCTTATGGCCTTGGTAGCCCTCCAGTTGCCAGAAAATCCGGTCACGGTCAATCTCTGAAACTTGTTAACCAGCAGCTCCTCTGGCAAGCAGCAAACTCAAAAGCAAGAAATGGGCCATGAACCCACAAAACCAAGTGCTTGAATTAGTGTTCCCAGCATATTTGATCAAAGACTGTAAGTAAGAGAGGCACAGTCACAGTGGAGTTTACGCCAAGCCACCAAAAGCAAGAACCGCTTAATACTCTCGAGTCAAGGTCGCGATGAGCTCGGCAGGGTCCACATAGCCTGCCAGAGTACAAGAAAGCAGTACAAAAAAGCATCAGAGTATGGCTGACTATGCTTGAGGTCATAGGGTCATAGGATTAGGATGTCAAAGTGTTTGCACAAAACGAATTGAGGATCACACGTGGAATTCCATCAATTAGGATCAAGGATATAAAAGAACACAAGCAACTATATATAAAGGTCGCCTTCTCAATTCCAGGTCGGCACTTCTGATTTGGGCCACCTGGCTTTGAGGGCCTCCAAATGACCCTGAATTTGATTTCAGAATGTCAAAGGGATGATCACCGCACAGCTCTAAATCAAATCTAACATGTATAAAACGTAACAATGAGATTCTTTCCCCATCCTCTTGGTTCAACCAGCTTGCAGCATCTTGCGGCTCATGTCGTCCCATAAACCAGACCCCACCTAACACCTAAAAACCTCTGTGTGTTCTTTTGTATCGATCCGCGGACGCATGGGGGTGCACCTGACTCGGACTTGCCGGCTGGCTTGATGGCGGCATGGGAGGCTGCCTGCTGCCAGGTCCTGGATTGGTGGACAGACCAGCTGAGGATCGGGTTTGGGAGGACGTTGATTTTTGTTTGGGGGAAGACCGCGGGGGAAGACCCATGCAATCAGGCCAAGGATATCTCAGTAGGAAGTCGAACACATCTGCCTATGGTGCCATTATGAATGAGATTAGCAGGTAGAACGCAGCCTGGTTGTAACATGGGCGACGACCACAAACCATGAATATCATCATAGGTGCCCTAAGCCTCATCAGGTACATGTTCAAAGGTCAGGGCCTTCCAAAAACTGATATCCTTTCAGTCAGAATGTCTGCATTTTTTGGGGGGAAGAGTGGCTCTTCCCATCCTGAGGCAGCCTGAGGCGGAAGCAAAAAAAGTGTTTGTGGCCGCGGATGCTCCTTTCCTGAAACGAAGACCACTCTTCAGGAGGTCTGAATACAGTAGTTCTGTTGGGGTTTGCATCGAGTCTTTTCCCTGGAACGGGCAGCTGACTGAGAAAAGACACACGCAATTCTGGCTCTACTGTCGCATGACGATCGCTTTTGAAGGCTTGTCTTGCTGAATGAACACACACGGACTAAACATATCCAAGTGAACAAAAACATTGCGTGGAAATGCCAGGGAAAAGACAAACAACAAAAACTTATGTCAAAAAAGACATGGAAAAGCAAGCTGGTAAAAGGCAGCATTTCTTGAACCAATGCTTTTCAAGGGCTTGAACATGTTGTAATAGCATGTTTGTTGAATTTCATGAATGGCAATCAAGATGGCCAACGTTGCACAGGGTGGGCAAATGTGAGAACTTGAGATGCGAAACGATGTCCTTGAACGATACGCAGCATGCAATCATCAAAGAGATACTATATAACTTGGTGGCATTAGGCAGTGGTGATGGCTTTTGCATGGGTGCATTCAATTGCTCTTGACGAATAAACTATCTGCTGGACGCGGATATTCCTACCTTACGGATCCTTACGGTGATTTTCCCAACCAATTTCGTTCAGGCAGACAGTTTGGCCCCAGGTGCGGTTCTGGGACTTTCTAGGGCGGACGAGGATGGGTCATGAGCATAAGAAAAGAGCATATTGAGCAGGCAATGACCATCATGAGCAATACAAAAACATACACTCATTCTCATTCCAAATGTTCCAATCATAATACCAAGCAGGTGGTGAACTCCACTTCCATCATTGCAATCATGGAAGTCGAGTTCACCACCTGCTTGCTATTCGGAAAATGGTCCATGGCTGCAGGGCCATACAACACTTCGATGACTATTTCAGGGAGTGTAATGCCCGTGGCTGCTGGCATTGCCATTCCCTCCCAGAAATAGTTCAAAGGACAATCCGGAAACCCGTAATACCTTGCTGCGTTTATTGTATATAAACATCTATATAAACCAATCCCTTGATTTCCATCGACTTCTGCCCGCCCATCCTGCCATAGCTAGCGTTCGTCCGATCGTAGAAGGGCAACGCCTCGAAATTCCATGGCTGCCTGCGACGAGGGACACTGCAGGCAGCATGTTCTTACACAGATGCTTCGGTCGACGCATCGCACGTATGACTCACTATATTGTATGTTAATGCATGTTATATTATATATACTACTTCCTTTTAGATATATATATATATATATGGAAAAATGTTTTCAGACATAAGAACACACTCTGACTATGCCCCAAAGAGCAATGATTATTTACAGGTTGAGGATTCAAACATCCACATGCAGCATGATCGAACCCCGAACAGATCGATCACCGGTGGCTTGGACCGTCCAGCCCCGGACCGTGTGATTTGCTCTGTTTTTGTTGAGGACAACAGGTTCCAAGTGCTCAAACACCTGTCAAGTGTCCATGAAAAACGATGAAAACAAAAGAACACAACTGCAACATACTGCAACTACTGTAACTATGGCAGTTGTGAAGTAAAACTAACCCGGCAGTTGTGCCTTTCTTGCTGAGCTTGCGTTCGTTTGGCCCAGCTCGGGGCTGAACTGGCTGTACCTTGGTCAAGCATGACAGTAGCAGGCAGGAGGACTGTCTTCAGGACATGGTGTTATCGCTCCCATTAGAAGATTGTGAAGGTAACAGGTGACGTCGGGGTACCGGCGCCCACCGCATGCCCACGGTTCCGTCTCCTGGATGGACGACGCGCTCTGCTTTGATGGACGATGTGCCTTCCACATTCACACCTGTCACTTGCAGCTGACACGAAAGTCCTGCTGGAAAGGAGATCTCTTGATGTCGAGTTAAGTTGAATGCATTCGAGTCTTCACACTTCCGAAGAAAGGGACACCCGGCCCCGGACCAGTCTCGGAACATCGGTGGTTCGCCCGGAAACCGCTGGTCACCAGGCTTGACACGGCTCCCCCGAACAGGTCCTGACTCCTCTTGACAAAACAACAATCAGCAACGCAAGCCCCACCAACCCCCCGGAGTCATGTCTGCGAGCTACGTCTGCTGGCACCACTAGCTCTGCTCGCTCGGCTCTGTTGGCTACGGTGGCTCTGGCGGGATCTTCTGGAAGCATTGCTCATGACCTGGCGGAAAGATCAACAATGACTTGCTCCTGAAAGATCTGTGGCTCACCCTCCGACAAATCAACATCTGAACTGGTCAGGCCATGGTGTGGCCAATTCCACGACCGGAGGGGCTCAAATCAAGAGACACATCGACCCCGGGGTCGCTTCAGACCCCTCCTACACCTGAAGACCGCCACAGGTCTGACATGGTTTCTTCATACCCACCTCTAGATCAGGCTTGCCGGACCTTTGCGATGTGATAGTACCTCAGCAGCAGCGATGAATTGCAGGATCTGAAGCCTTCTTCCAACAGTTGTACCGTTTGCCCTTGCATTGGAATGTTATGGACAGTAAATAGCACTCACTGTTGTTGCTGGGAGAGCACGAGCACTATGTTGAGTCCAATTTGGAAATAGTCCTAGTCTGTCCCTCTGTCCATCTCCAATCATCAGCCATGAACAAAGGTCATGTTGACCAGCTGCAGTGTCTGCTTTGCACAAGTACAACAAACTGCATGCTTTTGTGGACCCTCACTGAGACAAACATTGATATCTGAGGTGTGGTTTGGGTTGATGACAACCTCTTGTCAGGACTTTTTGCCAATGCTGGAGTGTTAATTTGAGGGTCTTGTGGAACTCTAGTTGCAAGTTGAAATCCTTACAACTGTCATCATTAATTAATTCCGGAGTCGCAACACACAAAAAAGGAAACAGCCAACCAGGTTGTGAAACCCAGTACCGCACACAGTCTTCGAACATGAAACCACATGCACAAGGATCATGTTCGTGTTCCTGGCCAAGCAGGCCCTTTGTCCTCTAACCCTGAAGCTGTTGGGCTCAAAACATGTCGAGTAACTGTGCGGCACTGACGGAGGCTTGTCCAAGACCAGGGTCGCTGTACCTGCCATGGAAACGCTTCTCTCCGTTGGATGCTCTGAACGCAACATAGAGGCTCAGTCAGTGTGTTTTTTCTCATCTGTCCGACAGGGGTGCTTTTTAACCAAGTCTTATATAAAAAATATGACAGGGACATACCAGGACCCGCAGTCGGGGTGGTTCATGGACACCCCTTAACAGACATCAAAGGCTATAAATAAATAGACACCCAATATGGATCAATATGGTATAAGAATATGTTGAATCACTCCCGAAAAAGCGACATCAACCTCCCAACCATCGGACATAAGAGACTTGAAGGAGTTCGAAAGACTCGGCTCGTCCAAGCAATGCGACGATTGTCTTTTTTTTTACTGGATGACTCCTGATTCCTTCATCGACCCCTATAAAGCCTGATGGTGTGGGTTGCAATGTCTTGCAAGCAAAAGCTATCCCAACATGGAACTCCAATGTGGCACCCCCACACTCTCCCTCAGTTAACATGGCGCAAAGGAGCATGTCCCCATCATTCCAACAAGAATCCATCATGTTCATAAACCATACTGCAAATCCCCTGCTATGGGCTCCAACACCTCAAACAATCCGTGGGTTCCTCTGGGTCCCAAAACGTCTGCCCGCCCACTCCGTTCACGACCAAAAAACAGCCGCCCCACTCCTGGCGCTTCGCGCGGTTGCGCTCCGATGGCTTGCCTGGCAGGCGCGTGGAGCGTCGCAAGGTGCCGTAGTCCGCGAGCGGCAGCTCCGTCAAGGTGCCCGCGCCTTTCTTATCCTCGGTGATGAAAGAGGCCAGCGGTGATGAAAGTGGGAAGAGGATGGGGACACCAACATCCGCGGTCCGCGGTCTGGTTGGTTCTGTTCATTTTAAGGTTCACAAAAAAGAATCAGCTGTCGAAGGCCGAAAAAGAGGCCGTGTGAGGATCGGCACAAGGACCAGCAGCAATAGACCATGTGATGATCAAGGCTTAAGTGACTGGAGGACCCGTTGTTTTCTTGTCTAGAGGGTTCTTTCCGAGATTAGTAGATTTCTTGAACGAAAATAGTAGAGTGATGTTTCGCGAGATGAATATCCATCAAATCAAGCCATTTTTCAATAAGGTGCAAATATGCAGGGTATTAGGTTGTGAGTCACGGCCTTAGCCACAGGCGAAACTATGCAAAACTATTTCTGGAGGTGAACCATTGTTTCTACATGTTTCTACAACATGCTCCAAATGATTCTGATGTGATGCAAACTGCACCACCCCACGTATTGCAATTTGATGACCTATCTGAGTACAAAGCTGTCAGAACTTGCACCTCTCTTTCCATGGTCGCATGCCTCCATGGACGCTACCAGCGTCCAAAAGCGTACCCCCAAATCGGCAACAAGGTTTTCACTGGTTTGGATGCATTAAAATAAAATGGTTTGAGTGTCACACAAAATGTTTGTGGATGGTTGGCTTTCGAAGACTTTGAAGATTGACCCTCTTTGGTGACTTTAAGCTGTACTTTTGGTAATTTTGTGAGTATACAGCCGCTCAGATTCAATCACATTGATTGTACAAATTATGTTTCTTTTGGATTCTACATCCTTCATCGCCTTCATCCTTCACAAGTGTGGTTTGCGGTTGTATATTTAAAACAAATACCTGAGTAACTGGATATTTCTGGATGATCTGGATGGTTCATGAGTATTTTAGGATGCTTTTAGGATGGTTTTAGGAAGACCTACCTAGTGGCTCAGCTCACTCCGCCCCACTCCGCCCCGCCCTGCTCTGGTCCGAGGCACCCGGAAGCCTGGCTCCGTGCGGTGCTGGGAGACGCCCGTCTTCTCGTAGAAGGCGCCCATGCGCAACGACATGCCCGCTGGCAAGCAGGGCGCCTGGGCGGGGTGAGTCATGGTGCGTCAACAGGTTTCAGGAGTGGGAGTGGTCATCAATCACTGTTTATTTGAGGAGTTGGTCAGGATCTAAGAGTGACACTTGGAACATATGTATCATATGAATGAATGGAGCTCCTGCACCAGTGAATCACATTCTTCTCTCTTCCCTTTTCACACCGCCTTGTAAAGCAAGCCCGCCACCGAAAAAGAACACATATGCAAAGAAACGCAAAGGAAGGGGTTTCCACCCCCGGTCGATCTCCTTTCGACCTCTCCCCTCCTCCGGACCTCCGGACCTCCGTTTGGATCCGGCGGATCCGAACACGTTGCGACGGTCGGTGGCGGCGCCTGGAAGGACTGACCAGCATGGCAGGGCACGTGCACTCCGTACTCCGTAGAGGACTTGCTGTACTCCTTCGGACGAACCTGGGAAGGTCCGGAGCTCGGCCGGGTTTTGGACTCGGAAAGGGAGGAGAACTCCATAAGTAGATTCCATTGAGGATCGAAGTTCTTCACATGTTTCAACAGTTCAAATTCACAAATTGGTGGCAAGGTAGTTCGTTGAGCATCTGTTTGTTGTTGCTTTCACTTTCTTTTAACAAGCTTAGACTTGGAAGACTCTGGTACTAAATCGCATGCTGTTATTAGCCGTTAAAATACTTCAATCGCCTGATGTGCACTCTCGTCCAACAGAGGTGTGCACTTCGGTCCCTCTCATTGTGCTAGACCATGACGAATCACCCAAAATATGCCATTCCCATCCATTCTTCAGATTGAATTCGGCGTGAAGCTGTCCCTCAGATATCGGTGTGACTTCAAGCGCACCCCGCCCATAGACCTGCTCCACCGGGCTCCACCGATCCGGACGTCGCACCCCCGGCCGGGAACCCTGTGGCTCCCAGCCTCTCCAAAGCGCAAAGGCCATTGGTTGTTGATGAGATCCGCCGTTTGAAGGCCCAAATTGTCCTTGGTGCCATGAGTCGGCCGAAAGATGGAAAAGGGTCCCTTTGTCTAAGTGGGTGGTAACCATCGGTGGTAATGCAGCCACAATGAACCACTTTGTACACCAACTCAGAACTCACCAAGTATAGAATCGTTTTAGAAGGACTTGTTTTGCCTTGAACCGACTTTTGCTACCGGCTGTGACCTGGTTCAATAGTCTTGTCTTGGGCAGGGTGACCCATTGGAATTGGAATGATCTTGCAACGATGCATGTCAGTAATGCATCCAACGATCAGTCAGTGAAGAAGAAAACACATTACCATACATGACCCTAAGCGGTCAAAGCAGCTTCTTCTCTGGACCAGGTTGCCCTGAAAGTCAATCGGCCAAGTGCAACAAAATCCCCAGTTCACTGGCAATGGCCTACGCAATTAAAATGGAATTGGGATTCCTCTTTAGGTCTGTCAGCTGGAATTGGATCAATAACATCCCAATTCATTCCACTGTTGATGTCCAGCGTTGAAGAACAACAATGACAAAAAACGGAATAGCCATTGACCCAGTGCCTTCCACCATCTTCGAACCCTTTCGGTGTAAACTATTAATGATAGAATATGATGAACGATGCCAAGAGGTAAGTCTTTGTAGCAGCCATAGTCAGCAAAACTGGCTTTAAAATAATCTTCTCACAGCTCAGGGTCATAGGGCACAGAGATTCCCGCAGCCATCTGAGAGCGCACCTCTCACCGGCCCCAATTTCGGCCAGGCGAGGGCTCAACTGCTCACGGGACACAAGTGTCAGATGCCCGGCGAATCGGGCACCGCTTGAGCCGAAGGAGGCCGTGCGGCGCATGAGTGCGGCGCAGGTGAGGTCCCCCCCTCTACTGGCGCCTCCAATCACCTCCCACAGACTCAAAGAATTGAACATCATCTCGGGAGGTATGTGAAATTGAGTGAATATTCACTGGAGTCGAGGGTCTTGTGAGTCTATTTTTGGGAGGATCAGTTGGAACCAGATCGCTTGCCACAAGGTGATGGGATTTTCTCTGGGTGAAGCCGAGATCAGCATCAAGACAGTCTGAACAGTTTTGAGAATATATATTAATCCACAGTTACATATATTATATTAATATAGAGTCACTGAATCCTCGGAATCATGAAGTTCTACCGAGTTCTACCCTTCTACCACGTCAACATACATAGATCACTTCGCATCTGAAATCATCCTGCAAAACCCCGCTTTTCACCACTTTTCACCACTGAACCAATTCCTTGACCCCCAGCCGGGCCCCAGACCATCGACTGTGGACCGCTCCCCCTCCGCGCGGGCTCGTGGTCGCGACTCTGTCGTCCCCGACGTTCCAAGGTTTGATGATGCACCAGGCGCCAGCGGGGCGCCGTGGGCAGCTGTGCTTCCAGCAGCCGTGCACGACCTGGTCCGGAGTCGTGGGCCGCAGCTGTGCGCGAGGTGCTGTCGACGGGGTCGAGGGCGAGGTGTTTGGTGGATCAACATGGGGGTTGATGGTGTTGTTGTCAAACTCGGAGAGCAAGCACCTAGGAGGTGAGGTGACTGAAGCAAGAGGTGACTTGCAGATATTGGTGACTCAAAGGGCGGACAGAAATATCTGAGGACATCTTGTGGACATCTACAGGTCCGCAGGGTCAAACATCAAAAGAAGTTGGTCTTTGGGTTGGGGCAGTTGGGGGCAAGTGTGGGGAATCGGTCGACCACAGGACGTCTGCTTCGTAGAATTTTATGCGGCGGCGGCTGATTTATGAGTTGATGTTTTGAAGGTCCTTTTGACAAGTCGTTTCAAAGGTCTATCATGTCGGATTGCTTTGAGCCATGCTAGAATGAATCTGCTTTGTTTCCTAGCCTGCTAACATGCTGCTGAAAAATGACGAAGAAACAAGTGGCAGCACAGGTGCACCAGTTGCTTGCCAATCACTGCTTTCCTCTGTTGTCAGGCCTTCTTTCCACACAAGACTGGTAGACGGTAATTAGAGCGGTAGACTCATTTAGCAGGTCCTCAAACACAGCATGGCTAAAAGCGACACAACACCGCCTCCAAGGTATCTGTTGCAAAATCCAACGCTCCTGACATCCCTTGACCAAACTCAGCTCACACACCATTCCGACATCACCACCGCCCGAACGGGCCCGAAAACAGGCCGAACTCTAAGGGATCGGGGCGCCCGGGCTACTGAGGCAACCTCGACGGAAGTGCTGCGTCCCTCGGAGCAGGGATCGACTTGGCCCGGTGGAAAACTCACATGGACCCCAAAAACGCACTGGTGCAGTGCAAATAGACAGCGTGCCAGAACAGCCCCGCCCCCGGTCCATGTGACGTAGTTTTCGGGAATGTAGGGTCCAACGGATGGCCAGCTTTGACATGACATGGCAAAACATGGTGAAAAATGAGGACTGTGAACGTTCAATCAAATTGACTTAGTGCATTCCTTCGTGTGCAATGCTTATAGATGTCAGTATGCAAAAAGGTGCAGCACTAGAACAAAAACAACAAAACAAGACCAGCATCAAAAGCAATCACAACCCGTGGAACAACAGAACATTGGATCTTTCATGCCCCGCCACAACTTGCACGACTTCATGTTCAAACACAAAGTTCCGTCATGGTCAATCCTTGAGCTGGTCTTTCCCACCGGTCCATGTTCATACAGCAATGTAACATCAATATATAACAATAATTACTAATTACAGTATAAGGATTATTATGATGTTATAAGGATATGATGTTTCCATCATATCACAATACACATACAATGATCAGTAACCATACGCCGTCTCCTCCGCCGCGGTCGCCCCCGGTCCCCGCTGCGGGTCCGAGCTCAGCAGCGAATCCATCCGGACCTGAGGAGATCCGGTCTGACGAGGGTTGGAGATGAGGGAAGCCAAATTGATGTCAGAAACCCAAGCATCATCTAGGATACAGTGACCAAACAAAGAGTAGAATGAAGAAATTCAGAATGAATTGAATGAATCCTTTCGAACATCTCTATTTGGGACGCGAAACTTCCCTCACGACTCATTCCCTACTTTCGTCGCACTAGCCAGAAGTCTGAGATTCAGCGCTTGCTATTTTTGAACGCTTTGAGCATCTGTATGGACTAGCCGTGACTAGCCATGACTCACCTGTAGTCTGAGTAGCCTACCTCAGAATTCACTGGCATTCAGCAAAAACAAGTATATACGTCACATAACCCTCCAGCTTTGGATAGAGAGATCAGGCTAAGCTCCAAAATGCAACAAAACGCTGGGACCCCAACTGGACATATTTTCATGCAGGTGAAGGGGTGAAGGGAGGTAGAAATGGTGTAGACTCTTGATTATATGGCAACTTGTCAAAACCCCATATGAATGAACAGGTTTTACCATCCATGTCTGGTAGGGTCAATCATCAAGAGTCTGCATTTCGGGATGAAACCTGCGCTAATCCAAGGAACATCTCTGGTGCCAAGATTCTTCAGTGAATCTATGATCTGTACAAGAGCAAACACGTGCAAATCCAAGGATATACAAGGAGGCGTTGAAGTTGGGAGGATGCTAAGTGAGCCAGTGGCCCCAATCCCCTGAACGACAAGCCGTGCCCATACAATTTGAACCGAGCTGACATCAGAACGATGCAACAAAGTTTATTAAACAAAAAAAGCCCTCAGACAATCATGGAAGCTGAGCAGGCCCGACTTGTAGAGGAAAATAGTCTTCCAGGGGCCTTTGTTCCACTTCCATGATTGTTTCAGTTGAAGTTTCCCCTTCCACCGGCTCCTTAGTTCCTTCCATCTGCGTACATGTTCCATAGATGACATCCAACATCATCTAACACCATCATTCTTCACCAACCCTTTTTCACTCCCCTCCCGGCCCCCCCGGCACATCTCTCCAGTGAACCGATCGATCACGTCAGACTTAGTCCGCGACCATGGAGCGTGCCAACCAAAGCTCTTCTAGCACTTGCGCGTGCATAGTGTCATAGGATTGCCTCAGGAACAGATTTGAGGCTCTACAAAGGCCCGAACCTCCAGTCACCCGTTGCATAGGAAGTTATTTACCAGCGGCAGCCGACCAAACGCATCACGGATAAATTTGACCAGGCCCTCATCTCAAAAGATAGGGATTTAGATGGATTTAGTGTATGCTGGGCAGCACAGGGTATGCGCAGGCGTTGTTGTTTCACAAGGAAACTGGTGGGCTGCAGGTGTACCGTGAGTTGTCTGTTGACATATGAATTTCGAGTCATGGTCTGGCAACTGCCCTCGTGATACATCACACAATCCAAAGAAAGTCCCCGCGCTGTCCCCAAAACTGTTGATCAGTTCTTTTGCGAAAAGAGTGCTGTTTGAAGCTATTTGATGCTATGTGTATATGTGTATATATATATATATATATGTTTGGCATGTTCCGCATCATGCAGTGCATTTTCACCAGCATCGCAGCATCACTCGATGCCAATGGAACAAAAAACACTCTGGCAAATGCCATCACCCATGCAAAGATTGAACCCTAGAGTGATCCTTCAGGCATCAGTGATACGAGCACAAATCACAAGTCATAGCCTGAATTCACGAGGTAGACAGGACTTATACTATTCCTGCTTAACAAAGAAAAGCAAAGAAGCCAAACTGGTGGGTGGACATCATGTTAAAACGAAGTATCCATACGTATCGTCTATGCTTTATGGTTTGGAGTGAGGCTTGGGGTTTCATCTTGGCTTCGGATCAGTGCCCTTTCAGTCCGCCCTCCAAAACACCCACTGAAACCCACGTTGTCCGCTGCAGGGTCCACCGTGCCTCGTCATTGGACCCATGTACCTGGTGTCCGGGGGGCCACCAGAGATCAGACAGTCAAGCACTCAGTGCCACCCAAGTAACTGCGGTGTGGCATGGTGTGGCCATTGTCTCCCTGATCTCCGTTTGCGTGTTTCGATCTTTCAGTGCGGATGAAAGAACAAAATCACTCACCCTTCAAAGCTAGTAGTAAAACAAGTAGTAAAATAGAATGACCAGCAATGTTTGTGGCATCCCCTCTTGGACACTGACCAAGCATGTGTGATGATACCTCCCCTGAAACCGCTCAAAATTTGGTGTTTTGGCCAAACATCGGGACTGGAGCCAAAAGTTCTGACGAGACTGCAGGGAGATAATCAGATATATTGGAATTTAACGCATATCATCCTGAATATCCCTGATCATCTACCGTCGATCATCAATCATCGATCATCAATCATCCATAATCCATAATCCATAATCCATAATCCATCATCATCATCATCATCATCATCATCATCATCATCTATCATCCTTTATCATCCCTTATGGGTGTAATGAACAACTCACATGGAAACCAAAGGCAAACTCTTGGCACCCACCAAACTCATCTCATTTCATCTCCCTCATCCAGCTCGGACGTCTTCCCACGGCATCCAGCTGACAACGCTCGAGCTCCGTCGGACATCCGGTCGATCGCGCACTGGCAAAGAGGGGAAAGCCGATCCACGAGGTCCTTGGCCTCGGCCAACCTGCGGAAAGCAGCGTGGCCGACGCGGAGCGTCGCGGACCTGACACCCAGAGGTGGGAGGGAGGGTCGACCCGGGCTTCTCAAAAAATATTCGAAGTGGGAATGGACTTTATGCAGGTTCTCCCACCACCTTGGTGATGCAACTCAGCTGGATCTTGGTGGCACTGGCACAAGACAATAATCCTGCTGTTGGTTTTCCTGGTGATATCTTCTCCGGGCAAGACAAACACACACGCGCACACAGACACACAGACATGGTAGCGTCATGCCATATTACAAAATGCTGTTGATGCTTAACGTAAGACTTGCATTTTCTAGCATCACTGCAAAACAACACAACAGTAGATTCTTAGATCTGTGTATATATGCTTCCAAATGTGAGCAATGTACAGCAAAAGTCACAATACGATGCAACGAGCGATCGAACCCAG